CTCCTTTATTGTGAAGTGTAAAATCCTGCAGTTCCTGGAGTGTCCACTAGAGGCTGGCTGCAGAAGCACAGGAAGTCACATACACACCCATTCTAAAAAGCCTGTTTTTACTGTTTTTAACATGTATAAAAAACCAAAGAGGTCTGATTAGCTCATCGTTATAACTGTGATGTCAGAGGGTCCTTGAACACACCACCAGAAAGAGTTTTACAACAGGCCTTGAATGCATCCTTCCTGTTCCACTTCTCTGCGGGCGAGATGATGTCATAGAGGAAACTGATGTTCAGACACATGACAGTCAGATCAGGACTGCATAAAGGTTTAGTACTAAAACTCTACCCCCCCCCCCTCCAGTTCCACGGGCAGAAGCAGGTTCACCTGGATAAGAACTTCTTCCTGACGCACGCTCAGACGGCGAGATCCGAGACCTTCGTCAACCTGAGAGAGGTCAGCACCCGCTTCAAGCTGCCGCCCGGAGAATACCTGATCATCCCGTCCACCTTCGACCCGCACCTCAACGGAGACTTCTGCATCCGGGTCTTCTCTGAGAAGCAGTCAGAGACCATGTGAGAGTGTGTGTGTGTGTGTGTGTTTTATAACCTGTGTGTGTGTGTGTGTGTGTGTGTGTGTGTGTTTTATAACCTGTGTGTGTGTGTTTTTTAACCTGTGTGTGTGTGTGTGTGTGTGTGTGTGTGTGTGTGTGTGTGTGTGTGTGTGTGTGTGTGTGTGTGTGTGTGTGTGTGTGTGTCCCTTCAGACCCTGTGACGACCCCGTCAGCGCTGAACTGGAGGATGTGAGTAAAGATTTATATTACAGAGATGCCACAGGACGATATATATATATATTTTTTTATTCATCCTTTATTTTAGCAGGGAGGACCCACTGACACCGAGGGTCGCCCTGCAGCAGTACAAAAATAAAAACAACACAAATAAAAATATATTAACAGTTAACAATAACAGCATCTAGACACTGAAACACATAATCACACATGTAAACCATGTCCATTTAAATGAATTCACATTGTGAAACAGTTGCAGTTTCCTTCCTGAGGTAGTTTGGACACGAGGTCTTTAAAAACACTGTATGAAACAAGAGAGGGCAACTTAGCTATCCTCTGAAGGTCATTCCACGTACTGGATGCAGCAACACTAAAGGCAGTCTCTTGTTCACCAACTGTTGAACATACTCAATGTTTATATTGTCTACTGTTGACAATGTGGCATTAATGGGTTCAACATTTTGTCTTGAGAAGATCATATATTTAGTTTTTCGGGGTTCAGTTTCATTTTAAGATGAACAAGAGTTTGCTGGAAAGAGTTAAAATCGGTCTGTAGCAATGAAAGGGCTTGAGTATTGGAGGGCGCAATGGCATATAATATTGCATCGTCAGCATACAGGTGAATTTTACAGTTTTCAATATTTTCTGCAATACTATTTATATACATTGTAAATAGAATTGGTCCAAGGATAGATCCCTGAGGTACTCCTTTGTAGATCTCCATGAAGGGGGACTTTACATTATCCATAACTATTGCTTGGGTTCTGTTAGTTAAGTCGTTGTGGAACCAGTTCAATGCAGTCTCATCAAATCCAAAAGATGACAATCTACTAAACAAAATAGGCTGGTCGACTGTATCAAATGCCTTGGACAAGTAAATGAAGGGTTGCTGCCAATATTGTACCATGGCCTGGTCGGAATACTGATTGATGGGGAGTAAGAATGTTATTTTCATTTAAGAAATCGCGCAGTTGCTGATTTACCATTGATTCAAAGACCTTCGCCAAGTAAGAAAGTTTAGAGATGGGTCGGCACTTGTTAAAATCACTTGCCCCCCCCCCCTTTGTTTAGTGGTAAGACATGTGCCGCTTTCCAAATTTGGGAATTATCCCAGTTGAAAGGGATAAATTAAAAATATATGTTAATGGTTTCACAATAAACGAGGCGACCAGTCCAATGATACGCGGTTCAAGTTGATCCTCCCCCATAGATTTCTTAGTATTTATAGTAAGTAATGAGGTTAGTACCTCTTCTCTGTCAATTCCCGAAAGGAATAAAAGGCTCTAACATTCTGCCTTAAGCAGTCATCTTGAGGCTGTTCATTGAGACATCCAGTCATATTTGCATCCACAAAAGAATGTCCTACATCAATGAAATGCTGATTAAAGTTATGAGCCATGGCTTGATGGTCAGAAACAAGTCCATTTTTAGTGACAATATACTGAGGAAGGGATGAAACTGAGTTGGATTTCAGCGAGTTCACTATTTTCCAAAATTGTGAGGGGTTGTTTTCATTGTTAGTTAGTGAGGTGATGAAGTAATTTGATTTCGCTTTCTTTATTAACCCAGAGCATTTGTTTCTGAGCGTTCGAAAATGCTGCCAGTCACTCACTGAGTTAGTCTCTCTGGCTTGTTGCCATGCTTTGTCTCTGTTGTGTAGCTCATTTGATAACCCAGGGGTTTGATCTATTTTTTACCCTTAGTCTCTTAAGGGGGGCATGCTTATTTAAAATAGAATTAAAGGGCTTACAAAAATGTGTAAGAGCCAGATCTGGCTCAGGAATGCAAGTAATACTTGAAAAAAATGCTTGTTCACTAAAATTTCTAAAATTTCTTTTGGTTATAAAATGAGCTGGAGCTTTAATGGCCCTTTCATATGAAAGGCTCTGATTGGTCCGTTTGTGATGACAGTGAAGACCTGATAATGCATGTTACAACACACACACACACACACACACACACACACACACACACACACACACACACACACACACACACACACACACACACTCCTGTTATACTGAGCTCACCTGCCGACCTCACTGAGCGCCAGCAGCTGCTCTTTAACGAGCCTCAGTCTGTTTCCTGTTTCCTGTTTCTTGTCTGTTGACATGACGACCGTCACTGTGGAGACACGATGAACATCTGTTTTAACCTGGTTTCTGTGTTCGTGCTGCGTTCAGGAGTCGGTGTCAGACGAAGACGTGGACGCAGGTTTCCGAGGACTCTTCACCAAACTCGCCGGAGACGTACATTTTTTCTTTCTTTAAACATTTGGTTAAAAACAGATTTAAACCTGAGTTTAAGCTCTGAACGTGATCTCACCTGTGACATCATGATCACAGCTCAGGTGATCTCACCTGTGACATCATGATCACAGCTCAGGTGATCTCACCTGTGACATCATGATCACAGCTCAGGTGATCTCACCTGTGACATCATGATCACAGCTCAGGTGATCTCACCTGTGACATCATCATCACAGCTGTTTCCTGTTTCAGGACATGGAGATCTCTGCGGTCGAGCTCAGGACCATCTTGAACAAGATCGTCGCCAAACGTACGATAAAACTGTGGACTCACTTCTTTACCTGTCTCACCTGTTGACCTGTCTCACCTGTTGACCTTTCTCACCTGTTCACCTGTCTCCCCTGTTCTCCTGTCTCACCTGTTCTCCTGTCTCACCTGTTGACCTGTCTCACCTGTTGACCTGTCTCCCTTGTTCTCCTGTCTCACCTGTCTCACCTGTTGACCTGTCTCCCCTGTTCTCCTGTCTCACCTGTTCTCCTGTCTCACCTGTTGACCTGTCTCCCCTGTTCTCCTGTCTCACCTGTTCTCCTGTCTCACCTGTTCTCCTGTCTCACCTGTCTCACCTGTTGACCTGTCTCCCCTGTTCTCCTGTCTCACCTGTCTCCCCTGTTCTCCTGTCTCACCTGTTCTCCTGTCTCACCTGTTGACCTGTCTCACCTGTTCTCCTGTTGACCTGTCTCACCTGTTCTCCTGTCTCACCTGTTCTCCTGTTGACCTGTCTCACCTGTCTCACCTGTTCTCCTGTCTCACCTGTTGACCTGTCTCCCCTGTTCTCCTGTCTCACCTGTCTCACCTGTTTACCTGTTGACCTGTCTCCCCTGTTCTCCTGTCTCACCTGTTGACCTGTCTCACGTGTTGACCTGTCTCACCTGTTCTCCTGTCTCTCCTGTTGACCTGTCTCACCTGTTGACCTGTCTCACCTGTCTCACCTGTTGACCTGTCACACCCGTCTCACCTATTGACCTGTCTCACCTGTCTCACCTATTGACCTGTCACACCTGTTCTCCTGTCTCTCCTGTTGACCTGTCTCACCTGTTGACCTGTCTCACCTGTCTCACCTGTTGACCTGTCAAACCTGTCTCACCTATTGACCTGTCTCACCTGTCTCACCTGTTCTCCTGTCTCACCTGTTCTCCTGTCTCACCTGTTGACCTGTCTCACCTATTGACCTGTCTCACCTGTTCTCCTGTCTCACCTGTTCTCCTGTCTCACCTGTTGACCTGTCTCACCTGTTGACCTGTCTCCCTTGTTCTCCTGTCTCACCTGTTCTCCTGTCTCACCTGTTGACCTGTCTCCCCTGTTCTCCTGTCTCACCTGTTCTCCTGTCTCACCTGTTCTCCTGTCTCACCTGTCTCACCTGTTGACCTGTCTCCCCTGTTCTCCTGTCTCACCTGTTCACCTGTCTCCCCTGTTCTCCTGTCTCACCTGTTCTCCTGTCTCACCTGTCTCACCTGTTGACCTGTCTCCCCTGTTCACCTGTCTCCCCTGTTCTCCTGTCTCACCTGTTCTCCTGTCTCACCTGTTGACCTGTCTCACCTGTTCTCCTGTTCTCCTGTTGACCTGTCTCACCTGTTCTCCTGTCTCACCTGTTCTCCTGTTGACCTGTCTCACCTGTCTCACCTGTTGACCTGTCTCCCCTGTTCTCCTGTCTCACCTGTCTCACCTGTTTACCTGTTGACCTGTCTCCCGTTCTCCTGTCTCACCTGTTGACCTGTCTCACCTGTTGACCTGTCTCACTTGTTCTCCTGTCTCACCTGTTGACCTGTCTCACCTGTTCTCCTGTCTCCCCTGTTATCCTGTCTCACCTGTTCTCTTGTCTCACCTGTTGACCTGTCTCACCTGTTGACCTGTCTCACCTGTTCTCCTGTCTCTCCTGTTGACCTGTCTCACCTGTTGACCTGTCTCACCTGTTCTCCTGTCTCCCCTGTTCTCCTGTCTCACCTGTTGACCTGTCTCACCTGTTGACCTGTCTCACCTGTTCACCTGTCTCTCCTGTCTCTCCTGTTGACCTGTCTCACCATTCTCACCTGTCTCTCCTGTCTCTCCTGTTGACCTGTCTCACCTGCTCTCATGTCTCACCTGTCTCACCTGTTCTCCTGTCTCCCCTGTTCTCCTGTCTCACCTGTTCTCCTGTCTCTCCTGTTGACCTGTCTTACCTGTTGACCTGTCTCACCTGTCTCACCTGTTGACCTGTCACACCCGTCTCACCTATTGACCTATCTCACCTGTCTCACCTATTGACCTGTCACACCTGTTCTCCTGCCTCACCTGTTCTCCTGTCAAACCCGTCTCACCTATTCACCTGTCTCACCTGTCTCACCTGTTCTCCTGTCTCACCTGTTGACCTGTCTCACCTATTGACCTGTCTCCCTGTTCTCCTGTCTCACCTGTTCTCCTGTCTCACCTGTTCTCCTGTCTCACCTGTTGACCTGTCTCACCTATTGACCTGTCTCCCTGTTCTCCTGTCTCACATGTTCTCCTGTCTCACCTGTTGACCTGTCTCACCTATTGACCTGTCTCACCTGTTGACCTGTCTTACCTATTGACCTGTCTCACCTGTTCTCCTGTCTCACCTGTTGACCTGTCTTACCTATTGACCTGTCTCACCTGTTCTCCTGTCTCACCTGTTGACCTGTCTCACCTCCTTGACTTCCTGTCTGTGTCCACAGGTACAGACATAAAGACGGACGGCTTCAGCATGGAGACCAGCAGGATCATGGTGAACCTGATGGACGTATCCTTCAGTCAGCTGTTCAATGGCGGCCATCTTTATTTGTAGTTCAGATAGAAACTTTAAAGAGTGAGTCTGTAAACTCGGTCTGATCCTTAACTTCTCAGAAGGACAGTGGAAATGGGAAGCTCGGCCTCGGAGAGTTCGCTACTCTGTGGAAGAAGGTTCAGAGATACCTGGTAAGACCTTTGACCCTGTGTGTGTGTGTGTGTGTGTGTGTGTGTGTGTGTGTGTGTGTGTGTGAGTGAACCAGCTGACACACACCGACAGCAACTCTGTGTTTTCATGTCTTTATAGACCATCTATAAGAAGAACGACTCGGATAACTCGGGGACGATGAGCACTCCAGAGATGAGAGTCGCCTTCAAAGACGCAGGTACGCTCTGTTTCTTCTTCTACTGCACAAATACAGGCTGAAGTCCACAGGTGAGACAGTCCACAGGTGAGACAGTCCACAGGTGAGACAGTCCACAGGTGAGACAGTCCACAGGTGAGACAGTCCACAGGTGAGACAGTCCACAGGTGAGACCCTCTGACAGAGCTGGAGGTTAGGGTTAGAAGAATTTGACTTCTCAGCACCTGACAGCGTTTTCTCACACGACCTGTTTGTATTTCTGAAAACCAACTCGAGTGTGTTTGCCGAGTTAGTGCGGCTCGTTAGCACTAGTGTGAAGCTGTCAATCAAAAACCCGGGGGCGGGACCAAACAACCGTACAGAGATGGCTTGAAAAGGTGGGTCTCTGTCCCATCTGAATGCGGTTCGTTTGTCATTAGAACATTAAGCATCCTTTATCCGACCTAACTGCTGGAAGCATTGGCTGTTTTGGATGAAACCAGCTACTGTCGCCAGTCACGTAGTGCATTATGGGTAGAATTGTTAGACTTTCACTACTACAACAACTTGAGGTGCAACAATGGAACAAACTGGTCCACGATTCAGACCAGAGCAAACAATCTACAGGTGAGATGACTCCCTGAGTGTTCTTTCAGGTTTTAGAGACAGTAAGGAGAGTAAGCGTCTTTGTTGTGTTTCTATGTGACCTTTGACCTCCATGTGTCAGTGTGAGGCTCTGCTCTGCTGTCTGTGTAATGAGGTCTGCTTCTGAAAACAACATGTCAACACACTGACGGACATGTTGTCTCTCTCTGTCTTCACTTTCCTTCAAACCTCTCTGGAGTTAGAAAGGATCTCATTGGTTGACTTAATCTGAGTGGGTGGACAGAGTAATCCTCCAGAGCTCTCTAACAGGCCCCTCCCTCAGACTGTAACTAATATATCCATCTGTAAACAGTCAGTGGTTCCATCTACACCACTGTCCCCGTTTGGGGTCGCGGGGACCGGGGCAGATTCCAGCTGTCATGGCGTGGGAGGTGGAGTTACACCCTGGACAGCAGCCAATCACAGGGCTGACATACAGAGATCGACAACCAGCCACACTCACATTAGTCAGTGCTTCCTCCCGGCACTAAAGATTCAAAGAGGTTTCCATTAATGTGTCGTTCATTTGTACTGAAGGTTATCGGCTAATGTTTCTTCTCAAGCTTTATCTCCCCCCGCTCTGACTACACGCCGTCACACGCTTCCTGTTCTCCATGATTGAATTGTGTGGAAGTGAGTCACAGTGTTTCCCCGCTGACTCACTGCAGGAGGAGAGGATGAGTGTGAACTCTGTTCTCTAACATCTCCTCCTCCTCCTCCTCTGGTGTTTTCTGTTCATTAAGCTTTAATGTCTCTCTCTCTCTCTCTCTCTCTCTGCTGCTCTTCTGGATCTCATCACTTTACTGTCTTTAGACTGAAGCTGACGGTACGTTTCTTCCTGCTGCAGGCGCTCTTTGTTCCGTTAACAGTGTTACCTTAAAGTCGACTTGTCACATCTCCTCCTCCTCTTCAGTGTAAATAAGTGTCAGAGCTCCTCAAAACATGTGTGTGAAGTTTCTTGTTCTAAATCCACTCTGATCCTGTATTTGATCATGTCTATAAACCCCTCTATTTCAGCCCTGCTCAGAACAGGCTGTTTCTGTGTCTGTACCTTTAAATATGTAAATGAGCTGTGTCTGACCACGCCCCCTCTCTGGAAGAGCTTGGGTGTATTCGGTCTTTCTCGCTCCATGTCCTATTGTTTACGGTGAGAAGGCAGACTCAGAGGGCAGAACAAACACCTAGCTGTGGGAGTGTCACCCACCTGGGGGAGGGGCTACTGCCCTTTGTGATGTCATGAAGGGAACATCTCCAAACGGCCTGTTTGAGCACACATTTTCTGAAAAGTGGAGCAGGCAGAAGACGGAGAGGATGGACTTTTCTCATGATTGGGGGATTTGTAGACGGACTAGAGACACATGTTAGAGAAAGAATATGAGACCTTAAAGGTGGGCAAAGTTTCAGATCATGAAACATATGTTGGAGTAATCCCAGGATGAGTCTGCAGAGGGCGTTAAATGGCTTGTTTTGCAAATCAAGCCTCTACGTGAGCCGCTGAAACCTCTTACAGAGACTCTCTTCTCCCAGCTCTGGAGCTCTGAGAAGCTCTGCAGCGTTCTGCCCTCAGAATGCTTCCAGAGAGTCGGCCAATCAGAGGAGAGTGTTTGTTTTGAATTGATGCAGGATGATGTCACGTTCTTTGTGTTATAATGTTCTAAGAGGAGTTAGCATTAGCATGCTGATAGCTTGATTTGTCGTCCTCCAGGTTTCACCCTCAACAACGCCATCTACCAGCTGCTGGTGGCTCGATACTCCGACCCCGACATGACCATCGACTTCGACAACTTCGTGGGCTGTCTGATGAGGCTGGAGATGATGTTCAGTGAGTCTTTATGACACCCACAGTGTGCATGCTAGGGAGGGAGGCTAGCTTACCATGCTAACAGGACCTGCTGCGTAACGACAGGGAGGCTAGCTTACAATGCTAACAAGACCTGCTGCGTAACGACAGGTAGCCAGCTGTCATATTGAACAGGAAGTCAGCCAATGAATACGCTGCGTTCTGCACACAATGCAGTCCATTTTCAGCCACTCATGGTGGAAATGTCGACTTCCAGAGCCGTATAAAAACAAGCAAACACAAACGGTGGGTACAGACAGGAAGTAGGTCTGTTATGATCTGCTAAAGTGAAGAAAATGACCAGCGCAGCTCACTGCTCTGTGGATTGGTCATGTGGGTTTGCCCTACTCCGGCCCCTTTTCCACCAGGTTCCTGTGGCCCATTGTTGTCCCGGGATGATTATGTAAAAGCAATATTTGTAAATATACGAACTGATTTTATTTTTCCACAGAGATCTTTCAGAAGTTGGACGCTCACAACAGCGGCTCCATCCAGCTCGACTTCACCCAGGTGAGAACACACACCTGCTAACACGTTTTAATAAACCCTGAACCTGGACTCTGTGAGCTGAACCTGGTTTCTTTCTCTTCTTCCTGCAGTGGATAAACTTCTCCATGATCTGAGCCTCCGCTCTGTGTTGTCGCCCCCCCTCCCCCCCCCTGCGGAGCTTCAGTGTTACTGCAGGACGCCATATTCCCCGTTTACAGCGTCTCTTCCTGTCACTGCATTTCTATGTGAGGCTAATGTTTTTATCCTGTACACTATCTGACTCATGCAACGCAAAGTAGTCAATAAATATATTCACAACCCTTTAACAGCTGGAGGAGTGGTCTGTGATTTCATATCAAGAAAACGTTTCTGACACGGGGAAAGGAAGTGTTAGCCTAGCTTAGCATAAACACTGGAAGCAGGGGAAACTGCTAGCTCCAACAAAAACTCAGATACAAAACAAAGATACAATAATTATGATAACTATAATTTGTTATTTGACAAAGATCACTTTTAAAGATGTCACAGAGCTAAACAGGATGCGTTCTGATAAACAATACGTATTTAGCCTAGCTTAGCAAAAGGACTGCAAACAAGGCAAGCACAGCACAGGATAAAAAAAACCCCCGACTAGTTAGCGCTCATATTTAAGTTAGGAGCTAACAGCCTTCTTTTTATGATGATAGGTGTTCGCCGCTAACCTTAAATAGTACCAGGATTTGTTAGCTTAGCACAAAAAAAGTTAGCTTGTAAAAACTAAATGAACCATTAAATCCCTTTTACCACTCAACAAGCCAGTGAGCCTGTTTGACTCTATGACACGCAGACAGAACGTGACACGGTTTCATTCACTTCCTGTATCAGAAACATCTCACATGACTGTCTGTGGTGTCCTGTGTCACTTTAGGGGTCTTTTTTTAGAGGTTATATATAATTATTAGACCTGTCAAAGGCTAAGTTTGGTTCAAAAAATGATCAAAGCTGATATAATATAAATATTCAGCCAGGCTTCAGGCTGCAGTACCGCCTCTGACCACGTAGAGTGACCGACATGGATAATGGTAAAGGGTGGCGCTGTTTCACACACCGCGGAGGAGACAAAGACAGTGACGTCACCTCTTGTGACAGCTGGGGTAGTGAGTTTGAATGAAATCTTCTGACACACTAAATGTTCAATTAAAACAAAGGGACTGGAGTTTCTTTATTTTATCTGCTGACATTAAACGCATCACAACGACACGAGGTGTTTGGTCTCTTTAACGCGCCATGTTGTGATGATGATGATGATGATGATGTAGCCCCGCCCCTCCCGCCGGGTGGGGCGCACTGCTGCAGCACAGCATCAACAACAGCTCCCGGTACAGCACGCACACACACACACACACACACACACACAGAGAGAGAGAGAGAAAGAGAGAGAGAGAGAGAGAGAGAGAGAGGGAGAGAGAGAGAGAGAGAGAGAGAGAGAGAGGGAGAGAGAGAGAGAGAGGGAGGGAGAGAGAGAGAGGGAGAGAGAGAGAGAGGGAGAGAGAGAGAGAGACAGAGAGAGAGAGAGAGAGGGAGGGAGAGAGAGAGCCTCCTCCTGCACGCAGAACCGGACTCAGGACTCCAGCAGTGTGAGCACCAGGTGAGCTGCATCAGACCGGAGCAGGAGCTGCACGGAGCACGGACAGGTCAGTGTGTGTGTGTGTGTGTGTGTGTGTGTGTGTGTGTGTGTGTGTGTGTGAGAGAGAGGATTTAGAGCAGGTGGATTCAGAACTGTTTACATCACTCTGTTTATGAGCCAATCAGAAGAGTCCTCCTGCAGCATCACACAGACGACCCTCCGCGTTCACTCAGTTCTCATCACAGCTGATTCTTTACATGATTGAAATAACGGCTGTGTTTGTTTACACTTACAACCTGAGGGGGGGGGGGTCACCTTTCCTCCACTTCATGCAGCTTTGAACAAAACGTTTCAATATTTGAAAGAAAAGAGAAACTCTTGTTTTAACTTTAAACCTCATGTTCACCTTCATGTTGACACTCTCTGATCAGGAGGCCTGATGGTCGCCTCCCTTTGGAGGATTTCCAGGCACATCCAATTAGGTAGACCCAGAGGGATTAGATTTCTCTTCTGGTCTGGGGATGCCTCGGTGGGGGTGGGGTGGGGGGGGGGGGGTACCTGCTGGCCCACAATGTGTGGACATCACATTCTGCTCCATATTTTACTTTGGAGATTTTACAACAAACTTCACAGTCGGCTGCAGGACGCTCGAGCTCACGTTAACTAGCAGTGAAGATGGCAGCTGGTGGGGGGCGGGGGGCGGGGGGGGGTCCTATCATGATAATTAACGTTCCAGCTCGCTGTTGTTGTCAGGAGTCATTCTAGTAAATCAGAATCACCTTTATTGGTCAGGTATGCTCACAGTTTGTGCTCTCACTAAACAACAATATAACATATTTATCATATTATTATTATATACAAGGCTAGATAAGATATTAGTGCAGATGAACGTGATAATAAATATGTAATAATGTAACAGATGATTCATTTACAGTATTTTACTGTAAATACAATAAAACAAACGGTGACATCAGCAGAGCGAGTGTTGAGTAAAACAGTAAAACATTTCAAAATGGCCGACAGGATTTACTTTGTTAAATATTTCACACAGACCAACACAGGCTGGTCGGGGTGTGTCTCAGGTCCAAAGCAGTTTGATACCGTCTGATTTCACAACACACTTCAGGAGAAGTCTGTATTTTATTTTGAAGGTTGAAGCTGCTGACTCTGAGTTGTTTATAGTCATGAAAAAAAACAACCTTCTGTTGATGCAGCTTCTAAAATGTGAATGTGAAGTTTCAGATTTCCCAGAGACAG